GCTATATTTTATTCATCTTTCTAGATCTCGTTACAGAGCCTGGGACATAGTAGACCCACAATACATACATCTGAATCAGCAACTGAATCATCCAATAGATCAACAGTAGATCACTGCTAGGTACATAGTTTGTTCATAATAAATGTTGACACTCTCATCACCCGCAGCTGACTTATTTAAGCATCAATGTGAATATTCGATTTGAATCCCTTAGTTTATATTGGTTATATAAAGCTGTATTTACAATTATATCAAATTACAAATTAGTTAATAAAATATTTTGTTTAATGATACAACAAACATACTTTAAGATTTATTATAAGCGAAAGATTGATATTACATGGGCCAAAAGTAGGCATAAAATCACAGATGAGAAATGTAGGATTACTGCCTTCAATAAGCTTATTATCTACTAAGGAAGAGAGAGATGTGTGAACAATTAACCAGCTGTAGTTTGAGACAAAATGCATAATCATAATAAGAGTGCACATAAGAAAAAAAGTTGACAGGATTGCCTAAGAAATGGAAAATAAGAAAAGGAAAAAAGATGGACCTTTAAGGGAATGTTATAGGGGTGAGGCTGTAGTGTTAGGTACGTTCAATGGGTTCAGTGTCTGGATCCATGGAACCATACAGGTAAAAAGGTAAATGAGGGCTAGGATGTGGAATGAGGAATGGTAGAGTTCACTCGGATATTTATTCCAATATCCCAGAGTTTAGGAGTTTGGACTTTATTTTGCAGACACACAGAATTTAGAATCAGTGTAGTGATTGGTATCTAAGAATTTGTGGTAACATGTAGATAGTTGAAATTGAGGTTGGAAAAGGGGGCATGGAAAGGGCTGGAATCCTGAAGGCAGGGAGGCAGTTTAGGAGGTTATTGTAAAAGGGTGGAAAAAAATATGAAGCAGCAAACTAGAACACTAAGGGGATGCATGGAAATGAATTAGCATTGTAAAGCAGATCTGAGTCCTTTTGGCCAGTGACTAGTGGGATCAACCATGAACCCATTATCCTGGAATAGGAAATGCATACAGTATAGTTTGAGGAGCAGTGGGCAGGGGCTTATTCACTACTGATTATTCATTCTTAAACATCATTGGCTAGACTATTAAGGGACATTAGGTGCCCAGGGGACATTCAGATAAAGGTCAGATGGAGCGGGTTATGAACCAAGTTAAGATTTAATAAAGAGTATTGTTTTTGTTAATGTAAATAAAGCTACAAGAAACATTTAAATGAATATAGTTTTTTTCTCTCTTGCTTTTGAGATATTTCCTTAGGACAAGTTTCCACAAACATACCACATGTCTATTACAAGGACCTCTCCCAGTCCTTATATCCTTTCACTTTGAGCCAGAAAAATCTATCTACTTCAGTGCTTCCTTAGAAACCTTGACATTTGTTTTGCTTTCAGTTTTGTTCCAACATCCCAATATGCCACATTCTTTATGACAGTCCTCAGTAATTTACAGTAATCACTTTCATAATTTTATGACATGTTCTCAAGACAAAAATCTCAGTGGTTCAGCCAGTACTTTGAGAACAGTTTCTAAGACACTATGATAATCTTGTTCCCAAAACGTCATTAAAGTAAGCCAACTCTGTCCAAGAGTAGCAAGAGTGAAACATAATGAAACACTTGATTTGTTGGACTAAATCCACAGCACTACTATGCTATTAACATATAAAGATATAAATTACTAAGAATCGAGCTTAGATGTGGGATTTGCAAGTTTGCATATTTCTGCTGACAGTGTAAGTGTAGAAGCCATAAATAGTATCTTTGCCTTTCACAAATTTTGGTAAATCCAACAAACATATCTCTGTGTCTTCCCTAGTTACTGTAAATGCAGCCTCTCATAGTCTAAAGGGGTAATCAGTAAATATAGGAAGCAATTTCTATTTTCATTGGCTACACTGAAAATCTAGGACAGATATATCCATCCTTGGTGTTGACTCTGATAAAGCTTTCAGTTTTAAACATGGATTCAACAAAAATCTCAAGGAAATTGTGTTAAATACTTCACCTCTGCATGTTAAATCAATCTCTTTAGAAATTATATTTCATATCTTTCAAGTTTTTTATTCTTGGTTCATCAGAAATGTGTTTCACATTTTTTTAAATGTCTGGTAAAATTTGCTTTTGCAACGCTTTCAAATCATTCCTTTTAAAAAGACTAAATAGGAAATTATATTTTTCTAAGAGTAAATGAAAAGATTCACTTTAGTTCAAAATTCCAAATCAAAAACATTTGAGAGATTTCACAAACTGGCACAGCATGTTCTATTTGGCCCTATAGGAACAAGATGATCCAGGGAGGGAAACAGCTCAGCTCAGATATCACCATCAGCATCTGTTGACCATAGAAGGTAATATATAAAATCATCCTGCCTTACCCCAACAAACTTCTTGAGCCTTTTTGTCATCTCTTGTCTTGCCTACATGTGAGAGTCATTTGAGAGCTTGCTCAGCATGTAATATCCACCATGCCCAATACAGAGAATATAAAACTAAGACACAGGCTATTTCAGGGCACCTGGGTGGCTCAGTCATTAAGCGTCTGCCTTCGGTTCAGGTCATGATCCCAGGGTCCTGGGATCGAGTCCCATATCAGGCTCCCTGCTTGGCGGGAGGTGGGCTTCTCCCTCTCCCACTCCCCCTGCTTGTGTTCCTGCTCTCGCTATCTCTCTCTCTGTCAAATGAATAAATAAAATCTTTACAAAAAAAAAAAAAGACACAGGCTATTTCATCAAAGGTTAATAGAACATTTTCCCCATGATGCCAGCCTTCTGGTTTCCTGCCAAACAACTTCTTGTCTTCCACCAATGCCTCCTCTATGTCACCTCCTCATGAAGGCTTCTGTAATACTGATTTTCTCTGCCCAGGAGAAGTGGCATCTTCCGCTTAACTCCTCCATGATTCTACCCATACTTGGATTAATTTATTCTGCTGAATATTAATATATCTACTTATCTTCACAAAAATCCCACAGGACAGGGACTATGTCTTATTTATTAGAGATAAGAAACACTCAATAAACAGAGATTGATGACAGGGTGAAAGACAACACTCCCTACAGCATAGCAATGGAAAACTCAGACTATAGTGTCAGACTACTTGGGTTCAAATCCAATCTATGCAAGTTACTAGCTATGTAACATTGATTTAGACCTGAAAGAGTTACTCAATTTCTGTGCCTCATTCTCTGATTCATAAAATGGGAAATATGGTAATACTGACCTCATAGACATGTTAATGAAACCAAGGGAGAAGCTTGGTTTAATTATTTTTTCTATCTTCTGAAATTAATCATTAATAAAGGTTTCTGCACATGGGAAAATAAAAGTATGGTTTTTCTCAAGTTTTTTTGTGAACTATAGATATACCTTTCACAGCATATTAGTAACTCTGTTACTTCTAACAAGGAACCAAATTGTACTGCCATTTTATTTTAATGACTTTTCTGACTGTAAAATCCAACTTGCCAATTGTATATATATACATAAAATACAGGAAAATAAGAAAACAAACATTGCCCATAATTCTTTAACAAACAGTTCTTCAAAAACCGTTATTAAAATTTTATGACTTTTATTCTGTTCATACTTTGGTACATAATTCAACTTTATTGGATAGATTTTCATGTAACATTACTTAATGAAAAATCTCCCAAGATATTAAGTGTTCTTTGAAAACACAATTATCTTTCTATATTTATTTAATTATTCCCCCATTATTGGATATTTAGGCAATAACGTTTTGACAAACATCTTTGTACATACGTATTTTCCATATATCATGTAATACATTTTATAGTATTTTCATATCTTAAACTCACAATAATCCTGGGAAATTGGTCAAATGTTACAATCTTTACTGGAGAAGAAACAAAGGATTATGTGTTAAGTGATTTTCTTAGCAACTGTATGGTGAAATCAAGTACATAAGCTAAGGCTTCTGACTCAGTTTAGTTTCCTTTCCCCTATATCACTTCACAAACCTATAATCATTAAGAAATGACCACTGGGATGTGTGTGTGTGTGTGTGTGTGTGTGTGTGTGTGTGTGTGTGTTTTAATGGGAATGTGCTAATCTACTCACATCTTCTTTCATGATTCCTTTTGTGATCAATAACAAAAATATGTTAAATGCCCTGAGGGAACCAGAACTCCCACCTTGTGCTCTAATCATCTCTGGGCTCTTATCCACTGAGCTAATCAGCAAATTTTTGCATGTAGAAATTAAATATATATTGGCAGCATTAAAGCCCCATTGAGAAGTGGAGAAGGGAAATCTCCAGTGGAACAGAAATTTGACAGGCATATCAGGCACCCTGTCTAGAAAAAGATATGACCAGAGGTAGGGATCTATACTGATTTCTGGTCTGTGGCTGACAGTTTGCCTGGATAATCAGGGACTGGAAGGAACAAGATTAGAGCACTGATGATGTAAACACCATAAGGCCAGAATTTTGCTCACTGCTCACTGCTGTAGCCCATATATTAAGAATAGCTTAAAACATCAAATACTCTGAAGAAAATATTTGTTGAATGAAGGCATCTAGCAGAGATATGAGGATGTACCTCCTAGAATTGGCCCAGAATTTGAGAATATTTGTGTCGCTTATGAACTGTCATCCAAAGACAGCCACTGCAAAGCAGTAGATACCCTTTAGTGAGAATTTATCAAAACTGTCCTTCAATCAGCTTTACCTCATAACTATCAAGGGTTTGTTCAAAACACCCATGAACAAACTGGCCATGCTGGCAGGGCATGATGTTAGGTATACGTTCAACCATAAGAATTTACCCTCCTCAAAGCTGTGGTGGTTCTGTCTTCCAACAGCAGAAATCAATGCTTAGCCTCCATTATGGCACCAATTCTTTTTTTTTTTTAATGATTTCCTGTGCCTCTTTTATGCAGACTGGAACAACAGATAAAACAGTAAAGGTCTACCCCAAGAATCATGACTAAGAGCTTAAACAGAATGCTTCGATGCTGTGGAGGTTTACTTCCCCAACAAGGCACGATAGTTTAGAATTTTCTACCAGCAACCAGGGGGAGAGGCCCCGTTCCCTTGGACATCAGTATTCTGCACCAATGTGCTTTGCAATGGTGTTCAGCTGGATATTTGAAGTTCCTTCATATATTGTACCAATTTTTGCATCTCGGAAGTATTTTTCCACAGGGTAATCTTTGGTGTAGCCGACTCCTCCCATCCACTCAATACACTTACTAGTTGTGAGACTTGCAACCTCTGATGCATAGTATTTGGCCATAGATGCTTCTTTTATGAATGGTTTTCCAGCTTCTAAAAGCCTAGCAGTGTCGTATGTTAGCAATCTTGCAGCTTCCAGCTGGGTGGCAACGTGGGCCACTTGGTGTTGGAGCCCCTGAAAATCAAATATTCTTTTGCCAAACTGCATCCTTTCTTTCATATAGGGAATAGTGTAGTCAAAGCACCCTTGAGCCAGTCCCAGCATCTGTGCAGCAATTCCTATTCTATGGCACCAGTTCTTACTAACTGATAACACTGGACTCATCCCCTAAAGAGGAGATGGAAATTACTTTTCATTTAAAGAGAACAGTAAGGATTTGCCTTTTCTGCCCGACCTACCTCTCCAAGCCCAGAATCCATGGTCTCACTTTATACCATATTCATCATCACAATATTTTTTCACTGTAATAAAAAATAGTCACTATATAGAAAAAGAAGTACTGCAATGGGTTGGCACTGTGGGATGAACTGGTCTTTCCATTTATCTCATCATTTGGAAGGATCTAGACTTACAGAATTGTGGAATTGACCTAGTGAATACCTAATTGTGGTACCAGGTAGAAGATGACAACTTATAAGCTCAGTGCTGATCTATATGATGCCTGTATGATTTGGAATATGCTCTAAATCTGTGACTATACATGATACCAGAATGCATGAACTTGGGAACCAAGGGGTAAAAAAAGGTTTATAATTCCTCTCACTATTATGTCTAATAACCCACTTGCAAAAGTTTTGCTCCCCATCACTGCAACTTTGGGTGCTGCTGGTTCAGAGGTAGTCGTTTCTAAGGGAAGAAGGCTTCTGCCAAGGAAGACATATGAAAATGAACTGGATGTTGAGACCGCCATTTTCATTTTCTCTGTCAGTGAACAAACAGACCAAAAAGTAGATTAACATATTGACTGGGGGGTTATTTGACCTTAATCAATAAGGAGAAATAGAACAGACAATGTGGCAGGGAATTTTGTGTCTATAGCCAAAGGATTTTTTTGGGTTCCCCTAATACTTTTAAGTCTAATAGTAAAATTGGTTGGAAGCCTGAAACAATACTGGCAGAACAACCAAGGACTCATATCCCCTCAGGGATAAAAGGTTGAATGATCCTTCATTCAATAAAGAACTCCACTAGCTGAAGTGCTGAGAGAAAACTGATTACTTAAGGCATAGTGGAGGAAGAAAGTTCTAAATATTAATTATGGTCTTGTGACTAGTTGCAGTAATAGACTTTATTAGCTAACTTCTTTCTTTCTCTCTTTTATGTATATTTATGTATATTAACCTATTTATATTTTCCTTTTCAACCCTTCTGCTTTTTTATGTCATAAATATAAATTTATAATTTATCCCTTAGTTTATAGAATAACAAGCTAGAATTGTGATTGAACAAAAAGGGAAATAACCATCACTCAGAGATGGAGTCATAATTAATAGAAATACAGTCTCCTTTTGAATGAGAAGGTAAGTGCTTCTTTACTTGTCCAATGGATAGTTACACTGAGTAACCAAAGGGGATGATGATGTTTGATATTGTGAATTCATTGAACCCAGCATCCATTCCAACACCCTTCAGTATTCCTCCCTCTACCTTAGAGTCTAGAAAGCTGAAACTGTATTTCAGATTTCCCTGAAGCTAGAGTTCCATTAGTGACATATGTTTTAATGAGTTTTGGAGGTGGAACTTAAAAAACAACAACTTTGCAGGGCGCCTAAGTGCCTCAGTCAGTTAAGCATCTGCCTTAGGCTCAGGTCATGATCCCAAGGTCCTGGGATCGAGTCTCTCATCAGGCTCCCTCCCTGCTCAGCTGAGAATCTCCTTCTCCCACTACCCTTCACCACTGCTCATGATCTCTCTCTCACTCTCTCTCTCTCTCTAACAAATAAAATCTTTAAAAACAACAATGACTTTGTTGATATTTGGTGGTTGCTCCCATGAAGCAAGTTTATAAAGATGCTGGCTATAAATTACAGAAGTGTTCTGATGTCTGGCACCTTGGGAAGACTGAGCCACATTTGTGGTGGCACATATCTGTGATCATTGAACCACAGCTCCGGCAGTGGATTCCTGAATACAGTTCCCATGATTTCCCCTTGATTCTCAATTCCATGATTGCAGCAGAGGTAGTGGCTCTGCTGGCATGTTATTTCAGCAGTCTTATTCCACACTTGGCCACTCAACATAAAGTCTGCTTCTCTAGTACTTCCAATAATTTTATAGTAACTAATTCCCCATTAATATATGTTTTTGCTTAAACTAGCTGGAGCAGGTTTTGGTCGTTACAGCTAAATCTTAATGGAACCCAACCTAAAATCAGCAGAAGAAAACTCTGTCTTATAAGCAAACAATGATTACTTTGGAAAATAACACACACACAGTCTTTCAGGTTATCTTCTTCCAAACCCGATTTCCAATCCTACTCCAATAATTTCCAACAGTGGTGCCATCATTATTCCAGTCACCAACTTAACTTCTTGGCATCACCCTTGACTCCTTCCTCCCTTCATCTAAATCAGTCAATATATCCTGTTGAATTTCCTTTGAAAACATCTATTACCATTACTACTCTAGTCCAAATCCTTTTCACTTCACATATTATTCCTACTCTCACCTTCTAACTGGTTGCCTTGTCTCCAGTATTTCCAAACCAATAAAACAAAGGCAAAAGCAGACGGAAACCCCTGGAAAACACAGCTCTCACATTATCCTTCAATTCCTTTTCAAGTCCCACACACGCCCCCCCTGACACACACAGAATAAAGGGGATTTTTAAGACCTAACCCCCAAGAACAAAGATACTAGGTTAAAACACAAAAGCAACAAAATATTGAAAGCTAGAAAGGGAATAGAGGAGTGGTAAATGACACAGAAGACATAAGAAAGCTGAATTCTTAGCCAGCAACAGGGAAACCAAAAGGCAATATCCTTAGCACTGCAGAACTCTCAGAATATTCAGAATTCTATTATACAATGTCCCTCTAAAAGTCTGTTGAAAGTGGAGTAAAAAATGGGAGAATTAATTAAAAACTTGGCTAAGAAAATATACAGTGTCTAGATCTCCATCACTGGAGCTGCACCACTGCCCTCTGTAATCCTGGGAGAGGACTAAACGTTTATTTTTTGGAGAGACTAGCTGATTATCCCCAACGGGGAACTTCAGGTGCTGAAATTGGGAAGATTAAGACAGTACATATCCTGAAGTTTAGGCTCCCACCTTTCTCACGTATGAGAATGTGGTCAGCCAGCCTCACCACTCACGAAGCATGAGATTGAAGGAGGCTTCTAAAGCCTAAGAGGAAAGACCTAAAGAATCTGAGGTCAGCTATTACCTAACAAAGCAGCCCAGTCAGATGATCCTAAAGTGAAGATCCAGAAGATAAGCCTCGCCTACGAGCTCAGACTTCCCAGTAAAATTTTGTATTTCTCCTTCTTATATCTGAATAGACTGCTGAGGCATTTAAGAAAAGCCTCGAATGGGAAAGCTGGAGACCAAGACAAAGAGAAAAGGGTCATAGGTCCCAGAAGCATGGAGGAAAAGAGAACCTCAGAACTACAGTTAATAATCCTCAGGTAGGTAAGGAAAGATGTTACAGCTACAAAACAAGAAAAGGATGTTATCTAAGAGGGAAGATTAAAAGAAAAAGCTTTTAGAAATTAAAAGCAAGAGAGCAGAAGCAAAAAAAAATTATAAGGATAAAACATAAAGCCACAGGCATCTCCTAGAAAGAAGAGGAAAAGGACAAAACACACAAAATAGGCATGAAAACTAAGAAAATAAGAGGAACATTCAAAAGAACAAAAAGATGCAAGAAGAAAGAAAATAGGAGTAAGTCATCAAATACATAATTGCAACATTTTTTTACAGAACTGAGGTGCACTGGATTCCAAGCACAAATGCTCTAGTGAAGGCCCAGCACAGTATATGAAAATAGGCCCTCACTCTCTATGAAAATTCAAAACAGAGAAATGCTCAGAGAGAAAAAAAATGGTTTCAAACAACTACACTAGAAGGAAAGGAAGGCAGTAAGTGGGTGTCTGAAAACTCAGAACATAGCAATATAAGCATGTTATTTAGAGATAGGTAAATAAAAAGAATCTGAGGGGCGCCTGGGTGGCTCAGTCCTAACGCATCTGCCTTTGGCTGGGGTCATGGTCCCAGGGTGCTGGGATCCAGCCCTGCTCGGCAGGAAGCCTGCTTCTCCCTCTCCCACTCCCCCTGCTTGTGTTCTCGCTGTGTCTTTCTCTGTCAAATAAATAAAATCTTTAAAAAAATAATAAAAGAATCTGAAAGTGTGAATATGTTTTATTTTTTTTCAAGAAGCAGACTAGAAGAGGGCTAGATTATTGTTTTTCATAAAAAGCCTTGTAGAATATTTGCCACTTTAAACTATGTCCATGTAGAATTTTGATGAAATTAAAAGCTAAATTAGGGGAGGGAGGGAGAGAGAGAGAGAGAATGCCAAAAGCAAAATCCTCTTGCACTTTATCCAGCATAATGCTTTTGTTAAAATTCCACTTTCAGCATTTTGTCCCTTATTTTCCAGCTTTCAAGAACGCCCATTTAAAATCCTTTTGCTGGGGTGCCTGGGTGGCTCAGTCGTTAAGCGTCTGCCTTCGGCTCAGGTCATGATCCCAGGGTCCTGGGATCGAGTCCCACATGGGGCTCCCTGCTCCGCGGGAAGCCTGCTTCTCCCTCTCCCACTCCCCCTGCTTGTGTTCCCTCTCTGGTTCTGTCTGTCAAATAAATAAATAAAATCTTAAAAAAATAAAATAAAATCCTTTTGCTAACATATAAAGTCATTGAGAATATGATTCCATAGCTTCTTTTCTTCAACCTGAATCTCCTGTTCTAGTTAAACTGGTCTACTTATTAACCCTTAAATATAAGAAGGTATGCATCTTTCATTCTTTCTCACTTCAACATAAATAACCCTCTCATTTTCCTCTATCCTACTGACATCCAACATACATTGTTAGCACTCTTCTTTGAATTCTTCTGAATTTATAATTTAATGTGATTTGTTATATTGCTCTCTAAATCTCATATGTAGGGAAGCCTGGGAGGCTCAGTCAGTTAAGCGTCTGTCTTTGGCCCAGGTCATGATCCCAGGGTCCTGGGATGGAGTCCCACATCGGGCTCCTTGCTCAGCGGGGAGCTTGCTTCTCCATCTGCCTGTCACTCCCCCTGTTTGTGCTCTCTCTCTCTGACAAATAAATAAAATCTTTTTTACAAAATAATAAATAAATAAATCTCGTATGTATTACTT